GGCACATAACAACAACATATATATATATATTTATATATAATTTCTATTTATAAATTTATAGACACAAAGACAGCAAGTTTCCTTATCTTTGTTTTATTTCATATGCTTATTTTAATCTGTTGTACATATTTTTTCAGCTATCTCAAATCTTTTGAAAGTAAGATGGAGTATAATTGAAAAGATCACTCTTAAAACAGTAGAATATACTAAATAATATACAGAATTGATTGGATTTATTTTTAATTTTATGTTTTCTAGGTATAAAAGTAATTCAGATATGCTAGAAAATTTGGAAAACTTTAAAAATTAAAATAAAAAAGGAAACAATAAAAATTACCTGTTTTCTCATCATCCAGAGATAATCGTTGTTAGTATTTTCATGCCTTTCTTCGAGTTTTTTTTTCCTCTGAATGTCTGTTTGTGTGTGTACATGAATACATATGTATGTAATTATTAACATGGCTGATATGTAAGTTTTCATTCAATTTCTGTGGGCATTTTTGGATAACTTTAATTCTCCATGAATCATTTTTTAGCTACTGTATATATTGTACAATATGAAATCATATAGATGCAGTATAATATTTAGATATTTAGGTTGTTTACTCTTTTTTTTGTATTAAAAATAAAGCTTTGGAGAATATCTGTGTACATAAATATTTGACAATATTCCTAATCATTTTCTCTGGCTAGTTTCCTGGAGGTAGATTTATTAACTGAAAGGCTATGAACCTTAAACCTGTTATTGCGTAATACTTCTTTGATTATTCAGAAAGTACTTTAACATCAGATTGGAGTTAAACTGTGATTATAATAAAATACAGTTTTGAACCTTATATTGAATTTATTACTAGATCTACTTTGTTCCCTTTCAAATGCTGGTTTATGTTTATCCTTTTCCATTTCTTGGTCTATTTAATTTCGTCTGTGGTCTGGTATGGATGTGAAAGAAGACATGAAAAAGGAATTGGTTATAGGAGTTGGTTGTAGGAGACCAGCTGAAATGGAGTAGAGTTGTTCCCTTCTGTCTGCTGGAGACTCCCCAGAAAGAGCCACAATGGCCTGTTGGTCATGTGAAGCTCAGTAGGTTGCTTATCACAGGAAGGAAGAGCATTGCCTTGTCATTCTTAGTTGTAGTGCTTTGAAAGGGAGGGTCATGGACAGATATTGTAGCGTTTTGGGAGCTGGCCTTAGGAAGTTGAAGGTGAGTCCTTCAATGCAGTGATCTGAATGAGATTGGGCAGCGTTCATATGATAGATGAGTGGAAACAGTGAGCCAAGGATCTTAACTGAACCTGGTAAGTACACAGTGTACTTAACAGAGAGTAGTTTGCCCAGCTGACGGAATATTGTGAGAAGGGACTGTTTGAGTAGTCTATTGTTGGGGTAAATGGATTTGGGGGAAGTTCCTGAAGCCAACAATGAAGTTACTTACTGATTAACAGCCTTATCTTTCTGGGCATGAATTTCCTGGTGCAAACAGTGAAGTCATGCGGATGTAGGTGACCTTAGTTCTTAGTCCTAGAGTTAACCTATGTGCAATCAGGTGATCTCACTTCTTACTTTTAAGAGAGGTAGAAAAAAAGAGAGAGCTTAGCTTGGGAAATAGATGGAGGGAAAAATAATAAGGTATATTTGGGGCCTTTGGCTCTTTTTATGTATCCAGATTGAAATGTATTTTGTCATTTTGGGACTCAAGTTTTAAAATGGGAGAAAAACAAGGTGAATGCTCTTGTGTTCCTTTTTAATTTTTTTTTGTTTCTTAATTACCAAATTGTGTGCAATATGTTTGTTTCGATGCCCTCAGTATTATTTATACATCCATAGTTGAATTTCATTGATAAAGTTATTTTTACTATGGAACAGGACAGTTTAGGTTTGATGTCTGATTCTGGGATACTGAGTAAATTACTTAACCTTTTTCGAACCTAATTTCCTCATCTGTAAAATGAGAATTATAGTATACTTTCTTTGTAGGGCACCTGTAAGGATTAAATGTATTAGTATATGTGAAGTACATGGGACAGTGCCTAGCACATTGTTAAAGGCTGTGTAAATGTTGAAGGAGCTCTGGTAGCCTAGTGCCTAAGGCATTTGACTGCTAACCAGAAGAGGACCACCTCGGAAGGAGGGTTGGGCAATTTACTTCCATAGTGGTACTGCCTCGGAAACCCAAGGAGGGGTCGCTAGGAGTCAGATCCAACTCCATGGCAGTGCATTTGGTTTTTTGGTTTATGTAAGTGATGGTCATTGTTACTATTAGGATTGATTGCTACCTTATTTATTACTACTACTACTGTTATTATCTTTTAATATTAAAATAAAAT